TGTAATCCCAGCTGCTCAGGAGGCTGGGGCAGGAGAATGGCTTGAACCCGGGATGCAGAGGTTGCAGTGAGCCAAGATCGCACTGTTGCGCTCCAGTCTGGGCAACAGTGCCAGACTGTGTCTCAAAAAATAAAAAGATCCTAGAGAGGTCTTTCACCATCTTCCCACAATGTGGGGATACAAGAAGTCAGCAGCCCTGCAACCTGGAAGAGGACCCTCATCATATCCTGGTGTGCTGGCACCTTGATCTTGGACTTCCAGCCTCCTGAACAGAAATAATTTCTGGTGTTCATAAGCCACTCAATTTAGTGAGAGTAGCCCAAACAGACTAAGACATCACCCATGAGACGATTTGCATTTTAATGGAACACAACACCTTACCTTAAAAAAGTTAATTGGTCAGGCGGGGTGGCTCACACCTGTAATCCCAGCACTTTGGGAGGCCGAGGCGGGTGAATCACGAGATCAAGAGATCAAGACCATCCTGGTCAACATGGTGAAACCCCGTCTCTACTAAAAATCCAAAATATTAGCTAGGCATGGTGGCACGTGCCTGTAATCCCAGCTACTCAGGAGGCTGAGGCAGGAGAATTGCCTGAACCCAGGAGGCGGAGGTTGCGGTGAGCCGAGGTCACGCCATTGCACTCCAGCCTGGGTAACAGGAGCGAAACTCCGTCTCAAAAAAAAAAAAAAAAAAGTTAATTGTAAACTCTGATGTAAGGAGGTGAGGAGAAATTTACAACATCAAAATCAGTAACATCCCACTCAGGTGGGAGGACCCAGGGGTGGCACACTGTGCCACTGGTTATGGGTAATCTGAAAGATTTACATTTTTTTTTTTTTTTGAGACGGAGTTTTGCTCTTGTTACCCAGGCTGGAGTGCAATGGCGCAATCTTGGCTCACCGCAACCTCCTGGGCTCAGGTAATTCTCCTGCCTCAGCCTCCTGAGTAGCTGGGATTACAGGCACGTGCCACCATGCCCAGCTAATTTTTTGTAATTTTAGTATAGACAGGGTTTCACCATGTTGACCAGGATGGTCTCGATCTCTTGACCTCGTGATCCACCCGCCTCAGCCTCCCAAAGTGCTGGGATTACAGGCTTGAGCCACCGCGCCCGGCCGAGATTTACATTATTTAGTCTGAAGCTACGGTGCTCTTGGCACCCTTGAAAGCCTTGTGGGCGCCCTGACGGCATGGAGATTTCCCCAGGGGTTATGGAGGTAGCGGGAAGAGGTTGGGTGTTGTATTGTTTTGTTTTTTTTGAGACGTAGTTGGCGGAGTCGCCCACGCTGGTATACAGTGGTATGATCTCGGTTCACAGGAACCTCCGCCAGAGAGAGAGAGAGAGAGAGAGAGAGAAACTGACGAATGTCTATAGAAAGACATGTTCTCAAAGTGTGTTCCCCAATTAGCGACATCGGCATCATCTGGGAAGCAGGAGAAATGCAAATTCTCCCGTCCCACCTCAGACCTACTGAATCCCACACACTGCGAGTGCGGCACAGCAATCTAGGTTTCAACAAGCCCTCCAGGGCATTCTGAAGCGCTGGCAAATTGAGAGCTGTTGCGTTAAATTTTCGAGCATGGTTGAACTGTAACTGCAGATGATCCAGGTTCTGGTTACCGCTCTGGGAGTGTGCTTTTTCCGTTCCGGAAGAATCCTCTGCACAATCCTATCTCCCTGCACAATCCTATCTCCAGGGCAAGCCCAGCCTTGCGCTTTGAGAGTAGTGAAACTCCAGGGAAATGCCATATGCGTTGGTGGGATTCCACCAGCATAAAAAGTGAAAATGGAGCCAGGAGTGATCACTGCCCCGACCCTGCCAGCGCCCTCATGTGTAGGAACAACGGCAAAGATGCAAGGGGCCGCTCCCACGCGCGGCTCCTCTCCACCAAGATCCAGTGTGGTTACAACACCAGGCCCTGCCGATAGACAACAGACAGCCCCGCTTCCTTCCGTCCCTTTCTTCCCTTTCCTACCGTGCTGTGAGGGGTGGATTGATGCCCTTTGGTTTCCCAGGCGGACTGATTGCCAGAGCTGAATCTTACTTTAAGATGTGACTTCTGCTGGGCGTCATGGCGCTACCTGTAGTTCCAGCTACTGGGGAGGCTGAGGCGGGAGGATCGCTAGAGCCCAGGAGTTGGAGTCTCCAGCCAATCACTGAGAATGTTGTTAAAATGCAGATTCTGACTCTGTAGGTCTCAGGGGGAGTCCCAGAGCCTGCATTTCTAATAAACCCTGAAAGAGCATGACGCTGCTAATCTGAGAACTACGCTTTGAGCGGATATGATTAGGTTGCCCTCTAGTGATAAGGCCGTGGAAATTCAGGGTTTTTCTAGCTTCGCAGGGAACGGAGTCAGCTGGGACTTTTCAGAAAATTAAGACTATTACAGGCAGGCACGGTGGCTCATGCCTGCAATCTTAGCACTTTGGGAGGCTGAGGTAGTAATCGCTTGAGGCCAGAAATTCGAAACCAGCCTGGGCAACATGGCAAGACCTTGTCTCTGCAAAAATAAAAAAGTAAAAAAAAAAAAAAGCCAGGTGGGGTGGTGTGTACCTGTGGTCCCAGATACTCGACAGGCTGAGATGTTGGAGCCCAGGAGTTGGAGGCTGCAGTGAGCTACGATTGCACCACTGCGCTCCACCCTGGGTAACAGAGCAAATTAATTAGAAATTTGTAAACCAGCTTTACAGAATAAGAATCATATCAGGCTTTTTTTTCCTACACTTACGGTCAAGCTCTCCTCTGCCGTGTATAAATGAAGAATCTTTCACTCCTAATCTTCTGTCAGCTTTCAAGACCAGGGGTACTGATGCCATCTTTATCCCACGTTAACTTTTCTCCAAATAATCACAGCTACTTCCTGCAGCCTCTGTCTCTTAGGTTCAAGTGATTCTCCTGCCTCAGCCTCCTGAGTAGCTGGAATTGCAGGTGCCCACCACCATGCCCAGCTAATTTTTTTGGATTGTTAGTAGAGATGGAGTTTTTCCGTGTTGGCAAGGCTGGTCTAAAGCTCCTGACCTCAAGTGATCCGCTTGCCTCAGCCTCCCAAAGTACTGGGATCACAGGTGTGGGCCACTGTGCCTGGCCCATCATGTTGCTTCTTGTCTTGAAAGACATTCTGCAGCTCAAGTTTAAAATCCACAACCTGGCACCCAGAGCTTCCACACATGGCTCTAGCCCTTTCCAGCCTCTTTGAAATTGGATACTTATATATGCATAATAATTTAACAATACTGCATATATAAGCACCCAAAAACACTGATTCTGAGATGTATACATTTGGAAACAGGGTCTTGCATAGTCACTGCAGCCTCAAACTTCTGGCCTCAAGTGATCTTCCGGTCTTGGCTTCCCAAGTAGCTGGGACTTACAGGCACATACCACCATGCCCAGCTTTTTAAAAAAAAATATTTTGTAGAGACGGGTTCACTATGTTGCCCAGGTTGGTCTTGAATTTCTGGCCTCAAGTGACCCTCCTGCGTTAGCCTCCCAAAGTGCTGGGATTACAGGCGTGAGCACCATGCCTGGCCCAATTTTTTATTTTTTGTAGAGTTGGGGCCTTGCTACATTGCCCAGGCTGGTCTGGAATTCCTGGGCTCAAGCAATCCTCCTGCCTCAGCCTTCCAAAGAGCTGAGATTTACAGGTGTTAGCCACCGTAACTGGCCTTAAAATCTTTTGATTTTTAGAATAAGATTGACGAGTTAGATTCTAAAAACTCTTTAACATCCTGCAAGGCAATATATTTTAACTTTTGAGCTTATCTTTTCTACTAGACAGAAACTATTTGTATCTCTACCAGACCTGTTTAGGTTCATCTTTTTTTTTTTTTGAGATGGAGTTTCACTCTTGTTACCCAGGCTGGAGTGCAATGGCGCAATCTCGGCTCACTGCAACCTCCGCCTCCTGGGTTCAAGCAATTTTCCTGCCTCAGCCTCCCGAGTAGCTGGGACTATAGGCACACGCCACCATGCCCAGCTAATTTTTGTATTTTTAGTAGAGACAGGGTTTCACCTTGTTAACCAGGATGGTCTCGATCTCTTGACCTCGTGATCCACCCACCTCGGCCTCCCAAAGTGCTGGGATTATAGGCGTGAGCCACCGCGCCCGGCCCTAGGTTAATCTTTAAAAAATTCAAAAATAGCCCAATTGATAGAAAGTAAATCAAAGAGCAAACCTAGCACCACCCTGAAAAAACGCTCAGAAATCTCTTTTGCCTATTTTCCATTTTGAGTAATTGTTATAACAATCTCCCTCATTTGCAATCAGAAGTAATCTCCAAAGATGAGTCCTGATCACAAAAGGGCTGGTCTAGATAGTTGGCTCGATTGTTTACAGAGATGTAGCAAGAATCTTAATTAACTATTAGACCAACTGGAGTTTACAAACCTAGAGCTGTCAAATACTGAGGAACTACCAAGTCCAAGACACTCTCCCAGATCTCACATCTCAACTGCAGTACCTGTTCAGAGCTGACTGACAGAGAATCATTCTCAACGATAACATTTCAGGTATGAGCTTGATTGCACGATTCACTTTTCCATTATATTTTTGGTAAAAAGGAGAACAGATTATTATAAAACCTATGCAAATATTAAAGTTTTCTTTTTTTCAGTGGTGGTTCATCTTTGGAAATGAAATATCACTTTCTAATTATTTTTCTAGCTGTATTACAGTGATATGAAGAGCATGGTAGGTTTTCTGGTTTTAGAGACCCAATTTCAGGCATAAACTCAAAATATGACTCCAGGCCCTGTGGTCACCAAAATTCTTTTCCCACTTACAGGCAGTGGAGTCGCCTTACACTTAAGACTCTAGAAGTCTGAATCCTTGCTCTGCTACTTCCTAGCTGTCTGACTTTAGAATCCTTTATAAAACTCTGTGGCTTTATTTCCTCAGGAAAAAAAAAAAGAAGTAATAATAATACTTGCCTTATAATATTGTTAAGAAGATTCAGGTAATATGTGCACAGCTTTTAGACTACTAGTAAGTGTTTGGAAAACTCTGCCCCTACCGCAAAATCTCTCTCTCTTTCCCTCCCCCACAAAGAGGCTCCCTTATCTCTCACTTTACATACCGGCCCTAGCCCTCCCGCCGCCCAGCTTCCCGCCCAGCAGTTCAAACTGACCAACAGTTGCCCACCACCTCGGCTTTTGGCTTCCCCACCCCCCAGCCCTTCAGCCCCCTATAAAACAACCCTGCCCCTCTGAGCGGCGCGGCCATTTTTCCTTTTCGTCCCGGCTGGTCCGCCCGGAGGCTCTTTCCTCTCAATAAAGCCTGAACTTAAGGAATTTCCTCTAGCCTGCGGTCCGGTTTTTTCCGAACGAGCTCAGTCTTCCCGCAGAGGGTAGGTCGGACAAATGGTGCCGGAAACCCGGGACGGGAGCTGAGGCCGTTGGCCCGGCCACGGCCCCCCTCCCCGACCTACCCAACACTGGCCCTGCCACCTCCACGTTCCGATTAAGGTAAGCCAAGTTTTTCTTGCTTTGCCTTCCCCCGCTTCCCGTCTCCTCTTCCTACGGCATGGTGCAGTTGCTCCCTCTCCGGCGTTCCGCACGGACTCCTTGCCTAGTCTCGGCCGAGCCAAGGTAGTCTTCCATTCCGGCTCCAGGAGCCTTCCGAGGGACAGCCGCCAGACGGGGGACGCCCCTCTGACCGCTTCCCTTTCCGTACTTAATTGTACTCCGGGGAATTTGCAACGAACGGGGACGCCTTTTCGTTGTATCTGCCCATCCGCGCCGGAGAGTCTGTAGCTGCGCCTGCCATGGGAAATTCGGAGTCCAAAATACCTCTGAGCACCCCCCTTGGGTGCTTGCTGCGAAATTTTACCAAATTGGGATATTCCCAAACCCTCAGAAAGAAAAAGCTTATTTTCCTGTCCCAGGTGGCTTGGCCCCAATACAAACTCAGTAACCAGTCACATTGGCCCCCGACTGGCACTTTTGATTTCAACACCCTCCGAGATCTCGACGATTTTTGTCGCCGTGCGGGCAAGGACAATGAAATTCCTTACGTCCAGGCTTTTTGGGACCTCCGTACCCACCCCAACCTATGTTCTTCCTGCTCCACCTACCAAATCCTCTTATCTCGAACCCCCCGTAAATCTTCCTCCACTACCTCTCCCCCTCCCTACTCCTCACCGGAGGATCTGCCTGAACATCTGTCCTCTCCTGCCAATCTCAGCAACCACTCGCCATCAACGGCACGCCCTTCCCCCACTCCCTCTGCACCTCCTACCTCAGAGGCCATGCCTCGCTCTCCCTCTACTCCCTCCGAGCCCCCTCCCTCAGAGGCTGCACTTCCTCTTGCCTCTCCGGTGGCGGCCCACACCCGCCCCCACCAGCCAGCTATCCTGGCCCCACTCCGAGAAGTAGCAGGTGCAGAAGGTTTAATCAGGGTCCATGTTCCTTTCTCACTCCAAGACCTGTCCCAAATTGAGACACGTTTAGGATCCTTCTCAGCCAACCCGTCCACATATATTAAAGAATTCCAATACCTCACTCAAACATAAGAAGCCCTAGTCCGGTACACTCGACTAGATCCAGCCTCCCAAAATGGGGCCACTGTATTAGCCTCCCATTTTATCTCCCAATCAGCACCCGACATAAGAAAGAAACTAAAGAAAGCAGAAGAGGGGCCAGAGACTCCCATCCAAGACCTGGTAAAAATGGCCTTTAAAGTATTCAATGCCAGGGAAGATGCGGCTGAGGCTGCCCGCCAAACTCGCATGAAGCAGAAGGCTGCCCTCCAGACCCAAGCCCTAGTGGCGGCTCTAAGGCCGGAAGGGAACCAGAAGCCCAAGGCCGAAACCCATGCCCCTCCAGGGGCATGTTTCAAATGTGGAAAGGAAGGACACTGGTCCCGAGCCTGTCCACAACCATGGCCACCAACTAAGCCTTGCCCTATCTGTCGGCTCCCGGGACACTGGAAGTCAGACTGCCCCAGCTTCCCCAGGGTGCCGGTTCCTCAAAACAGACACACTGGCGTTACGCAGCCGGCGGTCACCCTCAGTAGGGAGGAGCCTGCTTGCCAGGAGCCGACCTCCGAGGGAGCTCCGTTCCCCAGTCTACTAGGGCTGCTAGATGACTAGCGGGGCCCTGGCTTTCCGACTCCGGTTACCCTCGCCGAGCCTAGGGTCACAAGACATGGGGGCTACCTACTCCGCTCTTCCTTCTTATTCTGGCCATCTCACCCCTTCCCAGGTCTTAGTCATGGGAATCGATGGGACCCCAAGTATCCCCTACCAAACCCCACATTCCCTAGGCCGAAACGTCCCTAGCGATGGGACCCCAAGTATCCCCTACCAAACCCCACATTCCCTAGGCCGAAACGTCCCTAGCTGTAACAGAACTATACGGGTAACCACTAATATAACAGCCCCACGAGGAACGTTTTTCGGGTGTAACAAGACCTTAACAAAAACTCTCTACATTGGCCTTTCCTCATCTCTTTTATGCCTCCCAGTAACCCTAGTCCCTTGACTCACTATATATTCCCCAGCCGAATTCCAGATGCTGCAAACTCCCCATCGCTGCACCCGATGAGCTGCCTTCCTACCCATTGCCGTTGGAGTCTCCCTTGCTGGTTCAGCACTTGCAGCAGGATTAGGAGGAGGGGCACTAGTCCACTCTCACCTGGCCATAGCCCGACTGACCTCACAACTCCAAGCGGCTATTAATGACTCTACTGAGTCTTTAGCATCACTCCAATGACAGATCACCTCAGTTGCCCAAGTTGCCTTGCAGAACCGAAGAGCCCTGGACCTGCTCACTGCTGAACGAGGAGGGACCTGTATCTTCCTACAAGAAGAGTGCTGTTACTACATCAATGAATCCGGCCTAGTAGAAACCCGAATCGAGAGCCTCCAGAAACTCAAAACTAACCTGTAGAGTCAGAAGTTCTCGGCTGAAGCCACAGCGTGGTGGTCTTCCTCTATGTATACCCTCTTGTCACCATTGCTTGGGCCCCTAATAGCCGTTTGCCTAATCTTACTTATTGCTCCTTGCTTTCTCCAGTTCCTACAGCGGCTCTTTCAAGAACTGACTGGAGTCACCATCCACCAGATGCTGCTCCAACCCCACCCTGAACGAGTGCAAGAAACAGACCTCTCCCCAAACCTCCAGGCTCCTTAGGAAAAGAAACCTCTTCAGAACCCCCCGTCGACCCTTGTCAGCAGGAAGTAGCCAGAGAGACAACCGACGCCCCTGACCCCCTCTTTTTCTTTTCTTTAAGGAGTCGGGAATGTTTGGAAAACTCTGCCCCTACCGCAAAATCTCTCTCTCTTTCCCTCCCCCACAAAGAGGCTCCCTTATCTCTCACTTTACATACCGGCCCTAGCCCTCCCGCCGCCCAGCTTCCCGCCCAGCAGTTCAAACTGACCAACAGTTGCCCACCACCTCGGCTTTTGGCTTCCCCACCCCCCAGCCCTTCAGCCCCCTATAAAACAACCCTGCCCCTCTGAGCGGCGCGGCCATTTTTCCTTTTCGTCCCGGCTGGTCCGCCCGGAGGCTCTTTCCTCTCAATAAAGCCTGAACTTAAGGAATTTCCTCTAGCCTGCGGTCCGGTTTTTTCCGAACGAGCTCAGTCTTCCCGCAGAGGGTAGGTCGGACAGTAAGTACTCAATAAGTGGGGTTTTTGCTTTGTTGTTTATTTTTGAGACAGAGTCTTGCACTGTCATCCAGGCTGGATTGCAGTGGTGTGATCACAGCTCACTGCAACCTCAAACTCCTGGGGTCAAGTTATCCTCTCACCTCAGCCTCCCGAGTAGTTGAGACTACAGGCACACACCACCACATCTGACTAATTTTTTAATATTTTTTATATTAAGAGGTCTTGCTATGTTGCTTAGGCTGGTCTCAAACTCCTGGCCTCAAGCAATCTGCCTGCCTCAGCCTCCCAAAGTGCTGGGATTATAGGTGTGAGCCAATGTGCCTGCCCAATAAATGTTATTATTAAGGATTACTAAAAAATTACTAAGAGCAAAGAAATAAGAAGGTCTGCAGAGGATGGGAGAGTTGTGTGTCTTTCGTGACTGCTCCGGAAGTGCCCAGGTTTGTCTTGAGTATTTGGTGTAGTGGATTTTCATAGACTTGCAAGACACCAAGTTGTCAAAACCACCTTCTGGAAATCAGGGAAAACTTTACACATGATCCTTTTCGTGCACCTTAGTGCTATTTCCATCACCAGTGAATTTTTACTTTACAATGCTCATTTAGTAAATGTTCTTTATTTTATTTTGTGCATTTCACCTAAGAAAAGAAGAATTGGCCACATGTTCCAAGAAAGAAAGAAAAAAACACACACCAAAAACCTGTTTTGTCCTCCATATGCAAAGCTGCTGTCATAGTCACTGGTTTTGCCAATGTTTATTGTGTATTATGTTTTGCTTCAATTGACATAATTTCATGCTGCATTAGCCATATAAGAAGGATTTATGGTGAATGATATCAAATACTTTCAATCAGCAAAGATGCCAGGTGTGTGGTGGTGGAAAATTGTAATGGGAAGATTCTAACCTTGTTCATAGAGCACCCTAGTTACCCAAAACATTATTTTAACATCTGTTCAAGTCACACTCATTAGCAGGCATATGCAGTATTGTGAATGGAATCCTGATTTCCAAAGACAAGGCATTCAACAATTGCCTGATTTGGAAACCAAATAGTTCCTGTCGATTTGCATGATAGTGTCGGTATGGCTGCAAAGGATGCTGTTGTGGTTTGACTGAAAGAGAGTGGAACCTACTGCAGGGTATCTAGAAATCTGCTAGGTTCGGGGCTGTCTTCCCTCCACATCCCATTCATCCCCAAGTCCAGCAAACTCTTCTACCTGCTCACCCCTCCTCTCTATGGGTTCTGCCTGAGTTAAGGTCTTCGTGGCTCTCACGCCATCCTCCCTGCCTCTCACCTTTTCTTCTCCAATGGTCCTTCACATTGCTCCTGCTTGTGTAATCTTTTTTCAACATACAAATCTGATTACAGGTGAGGATCCCTAATACGAAAATCTGAATTCTGAAATGCTCTAAAATAAAAATCTTTCTGAGCGTCGACATGACACCAAAAGTAGAAAATTCCACACGCAAGTATTTAAAACAAACTTGGTTTCATGCACAAAATTATTTACAATATTGTATAAAATTACCTTCAGACTCTGCCTATAAGGTGTATATGAAACATGAATGATGTTAATGTAAAAATTGTATGAATTGTATAAAAGGTAAGAATAATGTAAAAAATTACCTTCGAATGGTTTCATTAAAACATTAGTGAGTTTCATGTTTAGCCATGGATCCTAACCCCAAGATATCTCATGAAGTACATGTAAATATTTTAAAATCTGAAAAAAAAATCCAAAATCTGAAATTCTGCTCAGACCAAGCATTCTGAATAAGAGATACTTAACCTGTATTTTACTTCCCAAAACAAAGTTACTCAGTGACTCCCTGCTAACAACACAATACAATCTAAACTTCTGGGGTTGGCATACAAAAGCCCTCAGGGTTGCTCCAGCCTTCCTATGAAGCCTCATGGGCCTGTGTTTCCTTCCACAAGCTTCACCCTTGGGATTAGGGAACTCTGTGGTTTCCTTTACTTACCCTTCCCATTTCTGTTTGATTGCTTTCCTTGGTAGCTTAAACAAAGCAATAAGCAGGAAAAAACCCCGTTAAAAACTGGGCAAATAGCCGGGTGCGGTGGCTCGCACCTATAATCCCAGCACTTTGGGAGGCCGAGGTGGGTGGATCATGAGGTCAAGAGATCGAGACCAACCTGGTCAACATGGTGAAACCCCGTCTCTACTAAAAATACAAAAAATTAGCTGGGCACGGTGGTGCGTGCCTGTAATCCCAGCTACTCAGGAGGCTGAGGCAGGAGAATTGCCTGAACCCAGGAGAAGGAGGTTGCGGTGAGCCGAGATTGCGCCATTGCACTTCAGCCTGGGTAACAAGAGTGAAAATCCGTCTCAAAAAAAAAAAAAGAAAAAAAGAAAAACTGGGCAAAGGACATGAACGGACACTTTAATTTCTTTTCTTTTCTTTTCTTTTTCTTTCTTTTTTTTTTGAGATGGAGCTTTGCTCTTGTTGCCCAGGCTGAAGTGCAATGGCATGATCTCGGCTCATCGCAACCTCCACCCCCAGGGTTCAAGCGATCCTCCTGCCTCAGCCTCCCTAGTAGCTGGGATTACAGGCATGTGTCACCACGCCTGGCTAATTTTGTATTTTTTTAGTAGAGACTGGGTTTCTCCATGTTGGTCAGGCTTGTCTCAAACTCCCAACTTCAGGTGATCCTCCCGCCTCGGCTTCCCAAAGTGCTGGGATTACAGGAGTGAGTCACTGCACCTGGCCAAACATACAGTTTTCAAAAGAAGACATACATGCAGCCAACAAGCACTTGAAAAAATGCTCAACATCACTGATCATTAGAGAAATCCAAATCAAAGCCACAGTGAGATACCATCTCACACCAGACAGAATGGCTATTATTAAAAAGTCAAAAAAAAACAGATGCTGGCGAGGTTGTGGAGAAAAATGAAAGGCTTATGCACTGCTGGTGGGAATGTAAATTAGTTTAGCTATTGTGGAAAACAGTTTGGCAATTTTTCAAAGAACTTAAAACAGAACTACCATTTGACTCAGTAATCCCATTATTGGGTATACACCCAAAGGAACAGAAATCATTCTACCATAAAGACACATGCATGCGTTATGTTCATCACAGCACTATTCTCAATAGCAAAGATATGAAATCAACCTAAATGCCAATCAATGATAGACTGGATAAAGAAAATGTGGTACATATACACCTTGGAATACTACACAGCTATAAAAAAGGAGATCATGTTCTTTGCAGCAACATAAATGGAGCTGGAGTCACCCTTATGCTAAGTGAACTAACACAGGAACAGAAAACCAAATACCACATGTTCTCACTTATAAGTGGGAGCTAAATATTGAAAACACATGGACACAAAGAAGAGAATAGACACTGGGGCCTTCTAGAGGGTGAAGGGAGGGAGAAGAATGAGAATGGAAAAACTACTTATGGGGTACTATGCTCATTACCTGGGTGGTGGAATAATCTGTACAACACCACCCATGACATGAAATTTACCAATATAACAAACCTGCACAGGTACCCCTGAACCTAAAATAAAAGTTTTCCCAGCCGGGCATGGTGGCTCACTCCTGTAATCCCAGCACTTTGGGAGGCCAAGGCAGGGGGATCACTTGAGGCCAGGAGTTGGAGATCAGCCTGGCCAAAATGGTAAAACCCCATCTCTACAAAAATTAGCTGGGCATGGTGACACATACCTGTAATCCCAGCTGCTTGGGAGGCTGAGTCAGAGAATCTCTTGAACCTGAGAGGCAGAGGTTGCAGTGAGCCAAGATCACGCCACTGCACTCCAGCCTGGATGACAGAGCGAGACTCTGTCTCAAAAAAGAGGAAAAAAAAAAAGAATTCCCTGATCCTGCCTGGTAAACCTACTGGCTATTGCCCTCGGTTCCTATCACATTTTGTACATAGCTCCAATAATAATACATAAAACATTATACTGTGGGTGGGCATGGTGGCTCACACCTGTAATCCCAGCACTTTGGGAGATGGAGGTGGGTGGATCACCTGAGGTCAGGAGTTCGAGATCAGCCTGGCCAACATGGTGAAACCCTGTCTCTACTAAAAATAGTAGAGCTACTCGGGAGGCTAAAGCGCAAGAATTGCCTGAACTGGGAACGTGGAGGTTGTAGTGAGCTGAGATTGCACCACTGCACTCCAGCCTGGGTGATAGCAGGAGACTGTCACAAAGAACGAAAACAAAACCTTATATTGTTACCGGTTATTGAGTATCCCTTTCTCCACTAAAATGATAGCTCTTTGAGAGCAGGGGCTATTTCATTCATTTTTATTTTTGAATTCCCAGGCCCTGGCATGTTGTGGACAGGCAATATCGAATTGTTAAATGTATTTTAAATGGTAAATTAAATCATGTTAATGTAGAATTTCACAATAATTTAATTAAAAAGTAACTAAAAGTGTCTAAAAATAGTAGCTATCTTTCATTATGTGTTTACTATTTGCCAGGTTTAAAACTATTAAGCAAATATTTTATATTTGTTATGTCAGTGTTTTCCAAATTTTAATATATACTATTTTCCTTAATTTACTTATTTTTACTACTAATAAATATATTTTAGAAGAAAAGCTTATATTATTACCACATGTGGAAAACTGGTATCACTTGACATAAATGGAAATAAAGTAAATCATTAAGTAAATATAAGCAGTAGTATATTTACCAAACTGTTCTCCAATGAGAAAAAATTATGTAAGATTGGTCAGGCTGGGTATAGTGGCTCACACCTGTAATCCCAGCACTTTGGGAGGCTGCCCTGGGCAGGCAGATAACTTGAGGTCAGGAGTTCAAGATCAGCCTGGCCAACATGGAAAAATGCTGTTTCTACAAATAAAAAAATTGTCCACGCTTTGTGGTGTGTGCCTGTAATCCTAGCTACCAGGGAGGCTGAGGTAGGAGAATCACCTGAACCTG